TAAAGCATGATGGCTGGGGAATTCTGGGAGCTGAAATCCACCCATCTTCAAGCATGCTAGTTGGGGGATTCTGGGAGTTGAAGTCCACCCCTCTTAAAGCAGGCTGGCAGGGGGATTCTGGGAGTTGAAATTCACTTGTCTTAAAGCATGCCTGTTTGAGGAATTCTGGGAGCTGGAGTCCACCCATTTTAAAGCATGATGGCTGGGGAATTCTGGGAGCTGAAATCCACCCATCTTCAAGCATGCTAGTTGGGGGATTCTGGGAGTTGACGTCCATTTCTCTTAAAGCATGCTGGCTGCGGAATTCTGGCAGTTGGTGCACCCAGTTTAAAGCAGGCTGGCTGGGAGATTCTGGGAGTTGAACTCCACCCCTCTTAAAGCAGGCTGGCTGGGGGATTCAGGGAGTTGAAATCCAACCCTCTTAAATCCTGCTAGTTGGGGGATTCTGGGAGTTGAAGTCCACCCCTCTTAAAGCAGGCTGGCTGGGAGATTCTGGGAGTTGAAGTCCATCCATCTTAAAGCATGCTTGCTGGGGGATTCTGGCAGTTGGTGCACCCAATTTAAAGCAGGCTGGCTGGGGGATTCTGGCAGTTGAAATCCATCCCTCTTAAATCCTGCTAGTTGGGGGATTCTGGGAGTTGAAGTCCACCCCTCTTAAAGCAGGCTGGCTGTGGAATTCTGGCAGTTGATGCACCCAATTTGAAGCAGGCTGGCTGGGGGATTCTGGGAGTTGAAATCCATCCCTCTTAAAGCTTGCTGGCTGGGAAATTCTGGGAGTCAAAGTCCATCCATCTTAAAGCATGCTGGCTGGGGGATTCAGGGAGTTGAAATCCAACCCTCTTAAATCCTGCTAGTTGGGGGATTCTGGGAGTTGAAATCCAACCCTTTTAAACCAAGCTGCCTGGGGGGGAAAGCCACTTTTCTCTTGAGACAAGGGACTCAGTTCGCTTAATGTCCATGGCCACCAAGGTTATTAAATCAGGCAGGACTCCCTTAATGCCTGCCTTGCTTAGCAACAGGAATGTAAAGGTTTCGGTGTGTTTTGACGCCATTGTTTCGTCTCTTGCAGGAGCTGTCAACCGGATCAAAGAAATCATCACCAATGGTGTCGTCAAAGCAGCCACTGGGTCCAGCCCCACCTTCAATGGGGCCACGGTGACCGTCTACCACCAGCCCGCCCCCATTACTCCCTTGCCCCCAGCCGTGGGGCAAAAGACGCCTTTCCAGTCCGGCGGAGTAAGTATTGCTAGAGGTGGAATTTTTTCCAGCGTGGTAGCGTGATGGACGGGACATGTTCAGTTTAACTCTGCTCTCTGCTTCGGGTGGGTTGATCGGGTTCCACCACAAAACCGTGCTCGACTAAACCGCGTCCGACTAAACCGCGTC